GTTAAAGGGTCAAGGCTGGGTTAGAGTTTTGTGCAGGGGGGAGATCAAGGTGAAAGGTTAGGGGTCAAGGCTGGGTTAGAGATTTGTGTAGGGGGAGATCAAGGTGAAAGGTTAAGGGTCAAGGCTGGGTTAGAGTTCGGTGTGGGTGTAGATAAACACAAGTACTTGTCAACTCATTACTCTGTGTGGCCGACCAGTGTCACCTGTCAGCCTCCGCATGGGAGCAGACGGGCAGCCCCACCCCAGCTCTCCACTCTCAGCTCCCCCTATCCTCTGGGGGATCTGTCGGTCTTTTCCCCTGAGGCAGCGGAGAGCACAATGTCTGCGCGGTGAGTGAAACTTCCCGCCTGCCTCCACCACCTGCCTCTCAAGGGAGGAAGACGAGGAGGGGAGTGAAGAGTGACTTCTGTGAGCTCGTTGAGCGCAGGAGGAGGGAGGGGAGTCTCCCAGTCTCTGGACAGACCCCAGTACAGGCCCACCATGACAGAGCTTGTAAAAGACTGTGTCCCACAATCCTTTTCATCAGCTGAGTCCTTCAGGCACTGCTGACGAAATGTAAAGGCAGAGCTGCTGACCAACAGGCAGATGGACAGATAGACTGATCAATACCGATTGATCTAAATGGGCTCTGGTGTCTAATATGTGTGCTTCCACGCGCACTGTTTTCTCTAGCAGTGCTCTAGGGGCGTCGTCCCCCCCATTCCTCCAGCAGGAGCTATTATTAGCACAAACAGAGTATCTCTATTACACAACCCCCAGGAGGATCTGTAAGGACTGAAGACTCAGAGCAACTCCTGTTGGTTTCCAGCCAGTGAGCGCAGCCTGTGCAGCAAGAGGCTGTGCTGATTCATTCATAGCAAGTCCTCAATGAGCAGCGTCAGTTGCCAGGCAGCCACAACTTGCCTTCTTTAGGCAAAATGACAACACCAGTGTCACTGCTGGTCTCTTAGCCTGCACCCTCTGATTGGAGCAGCAGCCAGCCAATCAGGAGGCAGAGTCAGTTTCAGGCAAAAGCAGGCAGGTTTAACCCTTTGGCTGCCGGGCCAAGAGACTCGCCTGTTTATTAGTTTGTCACAGTAAATCAAGGCAGTGCGTCTTCACTCTTGCCCTGATCTTACCGCACAATCCTCTCATCATGGTTTGCTTTACAGTGGTTGGCTATGCTTTACCCTGATCTCACTGGGCTTTACTGGACTGTACTGTGCTTTACCCTGATCTCACTGGGCTTTACTGCAATGTACTGTGCTTTTACCCCGATCTCAGTAGGAGGATGAGCGAGGGAAAGAGGCTGAAAGAGAGGAGGAGGAGGAGGATAAAGAGTATACAAGATTGAGATATATTATTATTTTGTACTCATTTTATACAATCTTAGTTTGTGCAGTAGCGGTTAAGAACGAGGTGAATATATAACTGGCCACCAGGGGGAGCACTGAGCACTGCTTGGCATTGTTCAGCTCTCAGTGGGGAGGAGAGCAGAGTGATGGAGCCAGTTCAGAGAGGAGGGTTATTAGGAGGCCATGAGGGGTAAAGGCCAGGAGGAAATTTGGCCAGGACGCCAGGGTAACACCCCTACTCTTTTCAAGAAACGCCCTGGGACCACAGTGAGTTAGGAATTCAGGTTTACATCTCATCCGAAGGACAGTGCATGTTTTAGAGTAGAGTGTCCCTGTCACTCTACTGGAGCATTAGAACCCACACAGACCACCGTGTGAGCGCCCCCTACTGGTCCCACTAACACCTCTTCCAGCTGCAACCTTAGCTTTCCCGGGTCTCCCATCCAGGTACTGACCAGGCTCACACCTGCTGAGCTTCTCCATTGGCGGATCAGTGGCATTTAAAGTTTAAAGAAAGCCATCCTGTCACAGCCTGAAATGAAACAACTGGACTGGCTTTGGCAGTGTCTTTCAGGGACTTCTAAAACTTGAGTCCTAAGTCCTTTTGATGACATTAGAGGAAGACTAAAGAGACTCAGTTCCTTTTCCAACATGGACTCGATCTGATTGACAAAGAGCACAGAGCAGGAACACCCTACAGAGAGAACCACTGGCCTTTTGCACACACTCACACAGACGCACACTCATGCAGAATGCACACAGGCAGGCAGACAGACAAACACACACAAAGACAGACAGACACGCACACGCACAGACACATGATTAGATCACTGTTAACAGGGATGGGGGTGGTAAGGACAGCGTGTAAAGAATAGTTTCCACATAGCCATGTGGAGACCATGCTAACTCCACACGGAATGTGCTCTGAGCCAGAATCTAACCCAAGGCCTTGTTGCTGTGCTGATCCCCCCATCCCCCAGAATAATCATTTTGGCAACACAGGTTTAATTATCAACCAGTCGTGCTGCGGCTGGGGTTTGGCACAAACACACAGACCCCGGACTGCCCACGCCTGCCGTGGGGTCTGTGTCCAGGGGAACAGAGCTCATGAAGCCGAGCTCCTTGCCTCCTTCTCCCTCACTCTCTCCATCCCTTTCCAGCATGCTCTCCCATCCTCTCAGCCGCCCACGCGTCCCTAGCAACAGGATCGCCGTAGCCTAGTAACCGCATCTACGCACTGGCTCTGCGGGCGGGAGGACGGGATGGTGAGAGAGAAAGCTTCTCGGAGAAAGAGCACTGCTCCTGGACCTGCGGCAGCCCACAGCAGTCAAACCCAATTTTAAAAGCAGTGTTGCACAGCGATCAATGGAAAAGTCCTGATTAAAACCTGGCAGTGTCCCGGCCCCCCACACACAGGCACAGACCCCGGACAGGGACGGACGGAGACAGGGCAGGGGCAGGCTCACGAGCTGCTCCAGTCCTGTCCTGGGCCTCCAGCTCCCGCCCCCTCGAAGCACAGTTCCTCATTCCAGGTATCCCACTGGAGCAGATCAGTGTTCGGATTGGCTGCTTACGTGGGAATGGGGTCTAAGTCTGGATATACACACACACGCGCGCAGGTGTTCTGGTCATTTAAGAGAAAATGGTGCAGCCCAGCAATAAGGAACGAATTTGCCTTGAAGGGGGTGTATAGAGCCACAGGTTACAGACCTTGCTCTCCAGCCGCTGAGACCCACTGAGTCCTGGTGCAGAGCAGAATGGAGGAACGTGCAGCCTGGAGTGCAGTCAACAGGGAGGTCTCGTCTTCTCACTGATTCCACCTGGGCAAGCAATGCTGTCTCTCACAGCCCCGCCGCGCCTGCGCTGGACACCTGTCCCCAGGTCAGGACAGGGGGTCTCCTGAGGAAAACCTCCGCACTGTTTTGGGTCCAGGTTCAGCCAAGTCCCACAGAGGAACTGTCCCAATCCCAGAATTCCAGGCTTCTCCCTGTAGTTGGTGTCAGGAATTTGCACAATGATCTGCCCACGCTGCCCCATCCTGTGCCGGCCTGTTGCCAGGTCCTGGTGCCAGGGAGCGCCACAGGCTGGGGCGCCAGGCCAGGACACAGCGTCCCCGCGTGTGTGAGTGCGTGGGCATGTGTACACCCTGCATGTGCGAGAGGGACAGCGTGTGAGTGTGAGCCTCTCTCGCAGGGGAACAGCGGCTGTGTGGGCTGGTCCTGTCATCCGTGTGTGAGTCTGTGTCATCGCCATCGGTCCTGCCCGCAGCTTAGTGTGACCAGGAGGACGAGAGCCGGGTGAGGGCTCGTTCGTTTACGCAACGACACATGAGCACAAACAGGAAGAGCTACGAAACACGTGTGCAGCCTTGTGTTCCCAGGGTCCCATCCTGCCATCTCGCGAAGGAACCCGGACGATCAGTCCCAACAGCAGGGCTGGGAACTTGTGTGATGCACTGGTGATGCACTCCCACACGATTCTGGTTGTGCAGCCTAGTTGTGAGGATGAAGCTGCAGGAGATAGCATACAGGTCAGTATGAAGGTTTCACACATGGCAATGAGGTAAGAGAGCAGGAGCTGCTGTTCCTGTGATGTTCAACTGCAGTTTGTTGCAGTTACTTTAAAAGCGTTTACAACCTGCTCTGCAGTGTAGTGTGAATGTGCTGCATGTGGCCGCTGGCAGGGACGTGTGAGAGGGAGCAGGCAGTCCGAGCTGAGCAGCTGGGACATCCTGGGACTATAGGGGCGGGGGGCTGGCAGCACGCGTGGCGAAAGGAATCAGATCAGTGGTTTATTAGGTTACAGTTTCAGTGGGCAGGAGCTGTAGATCCCTCTGCTCTCTCCAGCTGGGTTTTTGGTGTCAAATACTGCCCTCCTGTGGTCAGAGCTGGTATTTTTCTGGTTGTCTGTAGCCTGTCGGTACAGCTGGCTGGGCTGGGTCAGGGAGAGCTTCTTGAGGTCCAGTTTTATCTGACTGTGGCCAGAGAGAGGAGCTACTGCATCACAGAGGAGTGTCCAGGTCTACCACCATTCTTCCCGGAGAGGGTCTGTTAGTGATCTTCCTGCTGCTGACAGAGCTGTAGCAGCTCACACCCGGTGCTGTTGACCGTGGCGTCGTCCCCACACCTGTGTGAGCTGACCGCTGTGTGCCTGTTTGTGCGTTCCCTGGCCGACCACGTGTGGAGAATGTTTTTGCTGTAATAAGAAGATTGTGTAAGGGGGAATGTAGACTGCATGTAGGAAAATCTCATTTTGTGTGGCGGTACTATTTCTGCTGATATGAAGCCAAACACGCGACTCTCTCCCTCTGGTTCTGAATGGCAGTCTTGAGCTGCTGCCCCCTCCTCCCCCGCACAGAACAGCGTGTCTTCAGAACAGCGTGTGAAGTGAGATGTTCTCTGTTCTATCTATAGACGGCCGAGAGAGGCTGGGGGATTCAGAAAGGTGCACAGGTGCCTGAGACACCAGCAGAGATCTCCCCTCTCCCCTCAGAGGGGCTGGGGTACTGACCCTAATCCAGCACATACTGTAGCAGTAATTATCGTCATGGCCCTCATTCAAGATGAACGGCATAGACGGTCTGGGAGAGATAGCGCCCCCTACAGACACACAGAAACCCGACAGGCTGAGAGACAGCGCCCCCTACAGACACAGGTACTCTCACACTCCAGGTTTTCCAATTTTATTATTTTTTTGCCTTTTTTTTCCTACACAAATCCTTCATATCTTGAGGCCCCATAAACTTGATCTTATAATGAACATTTTAAAAAATAATAATCAAATACGTACATTTATATATGTCCTTCTTCTTTAATAAAAAAAAACACAAAAAGGCAGTAAATACAAAAAAAGAGAAACTAATGCAAACCCACATCTGTCTGGCTCGGATTTGGAAAAGGGTTTGAATCTATTCGTCAACAAGGAGAGTCCAACCCTGTGGGATTTTATAGCGAGTGCACACTCGTCAATGATTAAGGACTTCGAAGCGGTTTAAGGCCAATTAAGTCACTAACTGACTGAATGAGGTCGTTACGAGCTGAGTGACCCAATGTGGCTCTGCAGGACCAGGAGAAACCCACTGCCCACTCCTGGGCCGGCAGGACAGCGTCGAGGTCAGAGGGAGCGGTTCGGAGGTGGGCCGGGAGGGGGTCAGTGTCCGGCGAACCCAGAGTGGACAGCAGCTGTAGTGGTGTCTGGGATGAGGAGGGGGGGCTCTCTCTAGAAGGCGTAGGGCCCCACGTAGACGGCCAGCCGCAGTGCGGAGCTGGTCTGGTAGCTCATCAGGGGGTTGACGGAGATCATCTCCAGGTCCAGGACGAACTCGCGGGGCCCGGTCACAGCGCGGGCCAGCACCAGCATGGCGCTAATGTTGTTGATTTGCTGGAGGGGGAGGAGAGCAGAAATGAGCCGGAGCAGCGCTGGAGTGTCCTGTTCCTTTAAATCCCGATACTCAATCCCTGTCAGGATTACTGTGGAATGCTATCCCAAATGTGTAGTTGGACATTCCCAGCATTCCGATGAGATTAGAGGGATTGTGTCTGGCAGCGCGGAGGAGATGAAATGTGGGGACAGAATTTCAGAAAAACTCCCGACAGACAACGTGAAGCCGTCCAAGTTTCTGAAAGTGCTCAGAGTTCATTCCTGCAGAGTACGAGAAATAGGAAAACAAATGTGTTTGTGTGCCTGTATGATGTGTGTATATTGTGCCTGTGTGTGTATGCAGCTCGTGTCCACGCGTCAAGGTGCGCTGTGTGTTGGGTCACCACGATCTCCAGGGTCACTACGGTTGCTATGGTCACTGCGGTCACTGTAGTTGCTCACCCGGATGTAGAAGTCCCCCTGCTCGTCTCCGGAGCGAATGCGGAAGGTGTTGTAGGCGCCGGGGTAGACGCTGGTGGCCTGGATCTGGAAGATGTCGGAGGGGACGGAGCGGTCAGACGTGATGCTCATGTACCGGTGGACGATGGAGAAGGGCAGCTCCCGGCACCCCGGCTTCGTCACCGGGCACACGCAGCGGCTGCAGGGAGCGACAGACAGGGCGATCACCAGCCAGCAGAGGGCGCTCTCCCCCCACACGAGCCCGTGGGCCTGGCCGGCACCTACTTGTCCGACACCTGGACGTAGGGCTCCTGGCAGCGGTTTGTCTCCACACACTGGTAGCCCCCGTGGATGTTGACGCAGGTCTGGGATTCGCTGCACTGGTGAGCCCCCGTCTCGCACTCGTTGATGTCTGCAGGGTCAGGGGAGGAGGAAGGCAGGCGTTAGCGCTGCAGCAGACAGGGCCCTGGGTCACTAGCGGGACCACTCCGCACCGCGGGCCGGGCCTCACCCTGGCACAGCCGGGTGCCCAGCAGCTGGTACCCCTCTGGGCAGACGCAGGAGAAGCGGCCGGGCTCGTTCACACAGCGGTACTGGCACAGGTAGCTGGAGTAGCTGCACTCGTCGATGTCTGCAGCGGGCAAGAGGAGAGGTCAGAGGTCAGTGGGAGGTCATGGAGGCGGCTGGCTGTGTCACTCCTGTGTCTGTGTGCATGTGTGCTGCCAGGTGAGAGTGCTTCCTGTACAGGTGTGTTAGTGTATAAGTACCTCAGGTCTCTCGGCGTATAGGTGACTCAGTGAATATATATACATATGTCTCATGTGTATAGATGTCTCAGTGTATAGGACTCGCAGCGTATAGGTGTCTCAGTATAGATACATGAGTGTATATATACCTCAGTATATATGTGTCTTAGTGCACAGGTACTTTCTTAGGTTATAAGTGACTCCGTATATTTCTCTCAATATATACTGAAGCTGTTTCGGTGTGCATTGTCTCAGTGTACAGGTCACTCAGGTTGACTATATAAGTGACCCAGGTTATAGGTCACAGCGTATAGGTGACTAAGGTTATAGGTCACAGCATATAGGTGTCTCGTACCATTGCAGGCGAAGCCATCCTCTCCCAGCTCGTAGCCCTGCTCACAGCGGCAGGCGAAGGTCCCATAGGTGTTATAACAGCGCTGCTGACAGGGGGCACCCATGTCACACTCGTCCACATCTGCACAGAGTAGATAGTAGAGAGTACAGAGTACAGTGCAGTGTGTATTCTATATGGTGTACAGTGCAGTGTGTACGGTATATCGTTTAAATGGTATATATGGTCTATATGGTGTAGAGTACAGTGCAGTGTGTATTCTATATGGTGTACAGTGCAGTGTGTACGGTATATCGTTTAAATGGTAAATATGGTCTATATGGTGTAGAGTACAGTGCAGTGTGTATAGTATATGGTCTATATAGTGTAGAATAACGGGCAGTGTGTATAGTATATGGTCTATATGGTCTATATGGTGTATATGGTGTAGAGTACAGTGCAGTGTGTATAGTATATGGTCTAAATGGTGTAGAATAACGGGCAGTGTGAATAGTATATGGTGTATATGGTCTATATGGTTTATATGGTGTAGAGTACAGTGCGCCTCGCTCACCCACGCAGGAGCGGTTGTTCCCCGCCAGCTGGAAGCCGGGCTCACACTGGCAGGAGAAGGAGCCCGGCGAGTTCACGCAGCGGTGCTGGCAGTACCGGTACCGACACTCGTCAATGTCTGCGAGAGAGAGCAGCACAGGTCAGTCCTGTCGCGGTCGGACACCTCTGAACTCCACAAGACCCGGAACATGCTTGAGCTTCTGCCTGCTGGCTTCTCGCTCAGGACATAGAGGAGGTCATTTAACACATTTGATTATCTCAGCCCATAAAATATTCTGGCCTGCGGCGGTGCATCGATGCCAGCGTGACTGGAACCAGGAACCCCAGAACGCCATGTGCCCGGCACGTTGCGCCCGGAGACATACCCACGCACTCGGTGCCGATCTTGCGGTACCCATCCGGACACTGGCAGGTGAAGGAGCCGGCGGTGTTGATGCACAGCTGGCTGGGCTGGCAGTCGTGCAGGTCCTGCTCACACTCGTCCACGTCTGGCCACACAAAGACAGTGCAGTTAGCGGCCTGTGATGCCCCCTCTCTTCCCCCGATCCCTCAGCACAGCCCAGGTCCGGCGCAGGCTGGCCTGCCGCTCACACATGTCCACTCTGCATTTACAGGGTCCCAGCAGCGTGGCCAGTCAGCTGGTACACGAGAGATCCTCGCTCCGGAGCTCATTTTCCCACATCACACTGGAGAAACAGACTGGGGGACAGACTCAAAGAATGGAATAGCATGCAGACTTGAAGGAATACAGACTCACAGAAAGATGCTTTAACACACCGACAGTACAGAGAGACACACAGATGGTACAGGCACACAGTCACACACACAGACAGTACAGACACACACAGTCACACACACAGACAGTACAGACACACACAGACAGTACAGACACACACAGTCACACACACAGACAGTACAGACAATACAGACCCACAGAAAGATGCTCTAACACACCGACAGTACAGAGAGACACACAGACACACAGTCACACACACAGACAGTACAGACAATACAGACCCACAGAAAGATGCTCTAACACACC